TGTGTGAGTGTGTGTGTGTGTGTGTGTGTGTGTGTGTGTGTGTGTGTGTGTGTGTGTCTGTGTGTGAGTCTGTGTCTGTGTGTGAGTGTGTCTGTGTGTGAGTCTGTTTGTGTGTGTGAGTCTGTGTCTGTCTGTCTGTGTGCGTGCGTGCGTGTGTGCGTGCGTGTGTGTAAATGTGTGTGTGTGTGTGTGTGGGTGTGTGTGTGTGTGATGGATGTCCTGATGGCACATGAGAGATAATCTGATGGTCATGCTCTACTTAAACACACCGTCTCATGATGCCTGGAAAACAAACTGCCTCCAGAACGACGAATGTCCCTCCCGCGCCTCGACTCCCAGCATCCTTCATCAACTACTAGAGTTGTACCGGCTTGACAGAAATTTAATTCGAGGCAGCTCTTGAAAATAATTATTGTATTTTGAAAGGAGTAATCATTGGTCAGGACATGATTGAATACGTCCATGCCTATTGACTTTTGCCATGATTAATTGGTTTGTTTAGTCGATATAGCCATCGAAACTGTATAATTAATTATCCGGGCGGCTGTCAGGCGGTGAGGATGGAGCGCTCTGATGAGGATTTGGGAAGATTAAATTTTCCGCGGGGCCCGTGTGTGTGTGTGTGTGAGAGACGCCTCCATCCCACTAACTCTCATTGATTTTGCTTCAGTGTCTCTTTATTGAAACTTTATCAGGTGGATCCGAGTGGAATCTGGAGCGAGTGATGAACTTCTCCGTCTGCGCTCGTCATGCGGGCCGCGTACACGCGCTACATCGCTCAAACCGCAGTTTTTAAGAGTCCGAATAAATAAATAAATAACGCGAGGCTCTCATCCGACATGTGCCATATTTCAGCTGTCGTTCCCGCCGAGGCATCGCTAATCAAAGCAGACTCAAGGAAACGCCGCGCACATGAGAATCTGCTCACATCGTGCTTTTATCAATCTGATATTGGAAACAGATCTGCGTTTTCTGTACATTATTATAGTTTGAGGTCTGATTTCACTTGTAAAGTCAGGTTTACTGATATAGTGCTTCACATAATACAGATTCATTCACAGCAGAAACAGGAAAACCAGCATCAAAGACGCAAAGTTCTTCAATTTCAAGTATCAGTCATTTCAGTTATGATTGAACTATAAAGCAGCTTGACTGAAGATTATATTGACTGGAAAATATTTTGTTGACCGTGTAAATAAAAGAAAGATTATTGGAGTGAGTTTTACAAGAAAATGCATTTTCAGTGTTTCTACTTCAAAATTTCACACGTTTTTTTGCCTTTTCTTTGTAATTAATTTGCGCAGTTTACTAGCAATACATGAGTAAAAATTGTTTGTGCACCAATTTTTTTCAGTGAAGTGACATTAAGTTTAATTATTGTATAATTATGCTGTTTCAAGGACCGCTTAATCAATACATTTTACTGAATATCAATTGTCTTTAAATGGAAGACCATTAATATTCAGTCAAATTGATCAGATTAGATTAATGTTTTAATGCCGTTTTTTCTTTCCTTTTAAAAACAGTATAATATTGATTATTGACCATAGCATAAAATATTTAGCTCTCATTTCATCTGGGCTTTATATTTCAGTGCATCGCTGGTCAGAGCATTTCTGAACACCAACCAATGATGTTTATTCAACCTTTTTCATTTTAGTCACAATCGACTACAGACAACTCTTAAATATAAAAGACCTAAAATGCAAGAGAAAAAATAGTAAAGAAAGATATAAAGACAATGCACACTCTGTTCCTCTATTCTTCAGTTTCAGACATTTGAGCACCAAAATTGCAATGAATGAAAAACCAGTTTATTGCAATATTTCTGAGTGAAGCTGCTCGTGTCGAGGCTGTGATATCTGATTGGCTTTAGTTTTTGAGCATTGATGATGTGTTAGTGAGGGATGAATGCTGCACTCAAAATAATGCATTTGTAATAAATAGTGTGAAAATATGGCTGCTGCGATGAAAGTAAAGTGTGTGGTGTAAAACTCAAATTAAAGCACCTCTCACCCCGGCTCTTATCGATGGCCTTTAATGGCATCAGCTGTTGTCAGAGCTCTTATTTGACCGTACATAAATCAATGCACAATTACGGCAGGAGACGCCGATCGGCCCAAACCACACGCGTCTCTGTGATTTAGGACTGTCTGTGTTTATTGGGCTGAGGTGGTGTTTTGGAGGAGTTTGTTTGTTTTATTTATTTTCGTCTGCTTCACAAACACATGTGCTCAAGGTCACCGGCGCTGACGGATCGCGAGTGGGACGAGGCGGGTTTTACTGCTGGCCCACCAGAGCAGCAAATCACTCAGATTAATTGACCTGCATGAAATGTAGTGTGAAATTTCAGCCCGCGGGTCTCTAGCTGCTAAATGAATTACTCAACATTCATTCACACACACACACATGCACATAAACACACACATGTGTGTCATAGCTGTACTTTAACTTTCCCTTTTCACTGTGAAAAGCTGTAGAATTTAAATTTCAGCAAATATATATATATAGAGAGAGAGATGGGTAGATTACTTACTAATGTAATGTAATTGTTATCTGTTACTGATTACAAATTACATGATGAAAATTCAGTAATGTAATTCAGATTACTCATTTTAGGTAACGTATTCTGACTACTTCTGGATTACTTTTGGATCACTTGTAGGGATGGACGATATGGGATTTAAAATATATCACGATATTTCTGGTATTTATTGCGATAGCGATATCAATGCCGATAATTCAGGGAATCCTGTTTCTTTAGAGAAAAGTATTATCTTTCCTATTTTTACCCAACATAGGGTGTTGTGAGCATTACTGAGTAGTGCACATAATGTAATGTCTGTTTAAATCATACTGGAAGCCAG